TCAAGAAGGTGTGAGCTCCCCCCCCCCCCCCAGCTCCCCATGCGTCCCCGCGACGGGCAGCCCTGCGGTGACACTGTGCCCTGCCGCAGTGGCATGCAGCAGAGGTGCTGCACCATGCGGCGAGCAGCGCCGGCCTCGTGGGAGGGGGAGGCGTTGCTGGGGACAGGGTGTTCCCGAGCTCGCTCAGCTCCCGGCGGACGGGAGGGACGGGATGGCGGGGTGGGGGCAGCCGTCCTGCTTGCACTCCTGGGGCCGCTTCCCAGGAGGCGGCAGCACATGGGGCTCTGCTCCCTGTCTGCAGACCAGCCTGATGCAGAACTGCCAGTCCCCCAGCAAGCCTTGGCAAGCATCTCACATGAGCACCATCTTCATCACCCTGCTGTGCTTCCCGTCCTTCCTGGGCGCAGCTGTCTTCCTCTCCTACACCATCTGGTCGTGAGTACCCGCTGGACCACGGCTCGGGGCGCAGAACCGCCGCTTGCCTGGCGAAGGGGAGGGTCCTGGGAAGACCATGCCTCCTCAGCCCTGACAGCACGCGGAGAGCATCGTGCCCAGCACGGGGCTGTGCAGTGCTGCCCCAGGCCGGGAGATGCTGCCCAGCTGCTGGTTGTTGCACAGAGCGTAGCAACGGTTGGCTTGTGCCCACTTCTCCTAGCTGTTCCCAGCTGTTCCCGATGCAGGACAAGGGGATGAGGGCCCCCTCGTCCCGCCCCTCGGGGTGGGTGGGGCGGGCGGAAGAGGCGATGGGGGCCCCCGCGTCCAGCCACTGGGGATGGCTGGGGCAGGCGAGGCTTGGTCCCTGGAGGGCTGGATGTCTGAGGCCGGGCAGTGCCCTGGGCTGGGGGTAGTGGCTGGCTGGGCTGCCCATTGCTCTGAGTGACCCCATTGCTCTGAGTGACCCCATTGCTCTGTCTGCTCAGGGTGCGGCCATCGGAAACCTGTGGTCCCTTCCAGGGGCTGGAAACCATCTACAAGTCAGGAAAGACCTGGTTGCAAGTGCTGGAGAAGTCCAACCCAAACATCACCTGGTTTGCCTGGGTCCACCAGCATCTGGTGGAGAACACCTTCCTCCTGTTCCTCATGTCCGGGCTCCTGCTGTGAGTAGGGACCCGAGCCCGAGGCTGAACCCTGGGCCACACTTTGAGGGTCCCGCTGTCACAGCCCTGAGCGGGGGGCTGGGAG